TGGAATTGTAAGAGTTTATATGTGAACTCTCAGTTCTGTTCCATTGATCTATGCAGAAGATTCCTGACTTGCCACAATTTGCTTTACGATTTTTCAACTTTACAATGTTGTGAATGTTATAAGGATTCAGTAGAAGCTGGACTCATGCTTGGTAGGGTAGGTGTATTAAATGCATTTTTAACTCAAGATATTTTCAGTTTATGCTTGGTTTATTGAGATATAACCCCATTATAAGCCAAGGAACATTTGCAAATCTCAGCGGTAGAGGGCTCACCTAGCCGCTGTGAGTCCCTGGGTTTAATCCTCAACACCACATAAAAATAAAGGTTTTGACAACTACAACTAAAAATTTTTTTAAAAATTCAGATTTGAATTTTACATCCTTTTAGTGGATCTTTCTGTGACAAACACACATAATTGTGCTTCCATCATCATAGCTCAGTGACCTCGCACAAGTCCCTGTGTCACCAACTACCAACACCTTTCCCTCCTCCCTAATCCCAGATCTGCTTTCTGTCCTTACAGTTCTATCTCCTCCAGAAAGCCACAGAAGTGCCGTCCTATAGCTCTCAGCCCTCTGAGTCTGGCTGCCTTCCCAACCCATCCTTCAACACCCAGAGCGATCTTTTCAAAATGTAAGTAAACCTGACCAGTGCTTTGTCCTCTACTCAGGCCCAGATGGAACCTGCAGGGTCTGGCTTCTACCCACCACTCTTGCCAATCCGGACAAACAGGACAGATAGCTCTCAGACCTGGTTTGCAGAACAGCCACCTGAGGGCTTGTCAATACCACACATTCCTGGGACTCTGCCCCAGAGATTGAGATTTAGTAGCTGGAGAGGCCCAGTGATCTGTTTTTCACAGAAGCCTGGAGACATGGAGGCCAGTGGTCTCAGGCTACCCTTTCAGAAGCACAGCTGCTTTCTCCACCCCTGCTCAGCTTCCTTGTGTGGCCTCTTTCCCTTCTCTTCTGACCACCTCCCTCTCTGCTTTTGCATGCTGTGTCCCCTCCTGCCAGAGGCTTTGGCCCTTCTTTTCTGCCCAATTGTCATTTCCACAAAGAGGTTCTCCCTACGTCCCTATGTGAGTCATTCTCCCAGAATAGTGGTCACCAGTCATTTCTTATTTGTTTGATTTCTTGATTATCAAAGGTCTTCCAAACTGGGTTGCAGGAGGCTAAGGGTGGGGTCTGTTTTCTTTGCTCATCTCTGTACTCTGTATCTTCTGAACCAAGCATGGGGCTGACATATGGTAGGTACTTAAACAGCGGATTACATGAGTGAGTGAACTGTCTACCTTTTTTCCAAGCTGCTTCTTGGTCCAGGTGCCCTTGCGGCTCCCTCACCCCATTTAGTGTCCCACTCAGACTGGTTTTTCAAGGAAAACTCAGTTTGAAGAAAGCAGGCTGAAGCCACTCCTCCATGCCCCCCCCCACCCCCAGGGCAGACCTCTTATCACGGTGGATTGTTTGTTTTCTCAACTGTAACCTACACAGAGCTGGCAGGTGGCCCCTGCCGGTGGACGGTGGCTCTCTCCTGTGTTTGTCCAAGGCTGAATGAGAAAGCGAAGAGGATTACTCTCACAGAAGTTGCCTGCGGTGCTGGGGCCAGAGCTTTCTACAGATCACCGTGGCCCCTCCTGCTGTGTGACCCTGCCTGACCCTTTGGATTAAAAAAATAAATAAATAAAAGATGAGACCTGGACTTTGTTCAGAGGGAGGGCATACTCTGGGTACCTCTAAGGGTACCTCTTGGGTGGCCAAGCTAGCTGGAGGTCAAGGGGCAGGACTCGTTGTGGGACACCCCTCTGGCTGGTTTCTCTTTTCTCAAAGTGCCCTTTGTCCTCCCCACAGCTGCTGATGGGCTCCCTAGCAAGGCCAATGAACTGACCAGTATTGGGAAGGGGCGTGAGGAAGAGTGAGCGGGGCCGGTTCCCCTTATCTTCCAGTCTCCAAAACCTTTCTCCCAGGTAGACACGTCTCTTGAACTTCGCTCTCCAGGCTGTTTTGTTCGACCGTCTTCCCCGCCTCTCCCCAGGTACCTGCACCCTCCCCCGGCACCTGCTGCCGAGCTAGGAAGGGCAAAAACAACTCCAGTCGGCACCGCGTCGGGAGTCTCCGCCCCTCCTCCTCGGCTTGCTCCTCCCGGCGCCTCCCCGGCCCCGCCCCCACCTGCCCAGGATAATTTTAGTTTCCCTGGGCCTGGAATCTGGACACGCCGAGCTCCCGCCTCCTCCTCGACTTCCACGTCCAGGGTCGGGACCCTCTCCTAGCACCTGTCGAGAAGCCGGAGTGGTTTTGAAATCAAATTCAGGTCCCTGGGGTCCCTAGACAGAGGCAGACTTTGACCTGGTGACCTGCTGCCGCTGCTGGGGCTCGTTCAGGTAAGCGGATCGAGATCTGTCCCAGGACAGCCTGCTCCTAATACCCCTCACCCCGCTCCCCAGCAACACCGGGGCCTCAGGCCGTGCCCGTTTCATTCCGAGCTGGCTGGCTGCCCAGGTGGGTGGACAGACGGCCGCCTGGCTCTCCCCCTCTCTTTCCCCGCTTGGTGATGTCAGGCCAGGGGCGGGGGCAAGGGAGAAGGACAGGTAGTTAAGGGCCTGAACGTCTCCCTCCCCAAAACCGGTGGCTCCAGCCAGGTGTTCCGACGCCCAGGGTCCAGGTAAGGACCAAAGTGGGCACTTCATCTTGGTGGTGGGATGCAGGGCAGGTCTGGGCTCAGCAGGGGAAGACTCTGTCACCTGCTGTGTTACCCCGCGGCCTCCCAGTTTCTCTTTTCCTCCCATCTCCCATCCGTCCCCAACCCCCCTTTTTCATTTCCCGCCCTCCGCATTCCCTCCTTCCCTCCCCGCCCATTGATGCAGAGGGGATGTGAGATCTCAGAGGGGCTCCTCTAGGAGGCTTGCTTTCCCGCTGAAACTAGCCCTTCCCCGCTTACCGAGAAGGAGCTAGAAAGGGGTCCCCGTACCGAGGTTGCCCTCATGCCCTTGCTCACCCCAATTTACCTCAATTTGTGTATCCCCAAGTCTCTACTAAGATGCTTCCGCGGGCGGGGTGGGGGGCACCTTCGAATTTGGAAGGATTAGTAAAGAAGAGGGATTTTTCCCAAGTACTGGAGTTCCATCTCTGCTCACTGTATTCCCTGGTCGGGAACACAGCGTGTGGCTTTGATGAAACGTGGGGCTGGGCCCGGGGGTCCCTCCTGGCTTCGGAATGAAGCGGTGGATGCTGGGGGGTTTACAGTGTAGTGGGGCCTGTGGAGGGTGTGTGTGTTGGGGGCAGGTGGTCTTGTTTGATGAGACTGGGGAAAGACCCAGGTTGGGGTCTGATTCTCTATGGCGGGTTGGGGACAGAGAATGCACCTGTGGACTAGGTGGAAGTTCCCCCCCAATCCCTCTGTCCCCCAGGAATGCCCTCTGGGTCTGCCAGGCCTGGACTCTGCTTTACCTTTTCCCGCAGATATCCTGCTTTGTGCGTGTTGGAGGAGGGGGACCTCCCTGAAGGCAAAATAATGATTAACTCCCCAGGGGACGGTCTTGCGTTTGTCCCAAATTAAACTTTAAAAGAGCTGCCCCCTCCCCTTCTCATTGGGTGTTTTTTTTCCCCTGAGAGTCAGTGGGCGGGGCCTCAGTGTCCTGGGCTCGCCCTCAACTCTGGGTCAACTAGGGGTTTCCCACCTCCTTACCTGGGCCCCGCATCCCCCTCCCCCCAGGTTAAGCCCCGCCCCCAAGTAAATCCCTAAGGGATGGTCTGCAGGGCTGGGCTTGACCCGACCTCCTGCCTCTTGGCCCCAGCCGCAGCCCGCCAGCCCCTATCTCCACCCTGGCAAGCCTGGAAGGTGGCCTTGTTTTCTTTCTTTCTTCTCTTTTTTAAATGTTTTCAGTTGTAGATGGACACAGTATTTTTATTTTATTTATTTTTATGTGATGCTGAGAATGGAACCCAGTGCCTCACACATGCCAGGCCAGCGCTCTACCACCGAGCTACAACCCAGTGGCCTTGTTTTCTGTTTGCCCTAAACACTGGGCCTGGACACCCGCCCTTGGGGCCAGCCAGGTGGGGCTGGATTCAGGAAGTAAACACAGGGCGGTAGGGAGGGTAGGGAGGAGGGTGGGGCTGGAGCCGCTGGGGCAGGAGAGGCCGTTGGGGAAGCCCTGCTTTGGACTTGCAGTGTTGAGAGGACAAATTGATTTTGGGGACCGGACTCTCCAACAAGCTTTGCTGAGGCCCCAGTTAGAAAGTCTTGGGAAGGGGCCTCCTTCTCCCACCTCATCTCTCCCTTCCTCCTTTTAATATTTGTTATAGTAGATGGAAACAATACCTTTATTTTTTGTTTTTATGGGGTGCTGAGGATAGAACCCAGTGCCTCACAGGTGGTAGGCAAGCAAGCGCTCTGCCCCTGAGCCAGGCCCCAGACCACACCTCATCTCTTTGATCAGGACTGTCCCACTTCTCCCCAGCCTTGGGAGGGTCTGTAGGGCTGGGTGGAGGGATTCCTAACCTGGAGGTCGCCCTGCCCCACCATGTATGTACCCCTTCATGTATGGTCCTGCTTTGGGGAAGGGGCAGCCCGGCAGCACCTCCTCTAGTCCTTTAAATGAGAGGTTAGAGGGATGGGGGTGGGGCCCCCGAGTGTTGGTGCTCAAGTGTTGGTGCTCTGGTGACCTGGATGGTTGGTGTTTCTTACCCTTCCTGGTCCTGGTAGGACCCATAGCGCACCATCTCTCCCAGGCTCTTTGAGGACCTTTCGCCCATCTGCCAGTCTGTCCTCTTGGATATTTTGACTTTCCACTCCTGCTCCCGTGGTAACCCCGGGATGTGTTAGGAGGAACCTCATTCCCAGGATGATGCGGAAAAGCCCCTGGGCCAGATATGACCTCCTAAGTCCTATGGGTGTGCCAGCTGTGAAATGAGAAACTTTCGGGCCCTAGACCCAGGGTAGGAAACTCTGGGTGCCCCCTCGGGGTGGAGGTAGAGGGCTACACAAGGAGATGAGCTCCATTCCAGACAGGCTTCAGGAATCCAGGCCGGGCATTTCCTCTCTCCTTCCTGGGCAAGTGGGCTTGTGACTGGGTGGTGGCTTGGGACCCGGAGGTAGGCAGATTGCTGCATTCCCACCTGGTAAGCCAAGGGTGGGGAGGAGGAGGTGACATCAGAGGAGCCTCAGGCCGGCATCCTTCTTCTCCCCATCCTGTTCCTTCCCAGGGCCTCCCCCATCCTCCCAGGCTACCTGTAGATTGTGTGTGTGTGTGTGGGGGGGGGGCTGGGTTGTTTGTGTTCCTCTTAAGCCAGGAAGTTGTGTGGATGAGTCAAGGTTGAATGTAGAGCCTGCAGCAGTGCTGTACCGCCCGCCTTGACTCACCTGTCCCCCAACGTCCCTCATGCCCTCACTAAAGGGTCAGGTGCCTGCCCTATGGAGGTGGCAATCCTGGGTGCCCCCCAAAGCATCATGGTACTGGCCCAGTGTCTGGAGAGCAAGCAGGGGGCTGGGGCTGGTGCTTTCTCCTGGTCTCTACTCAGCCCATGGGGTCTGTGGTTTCTGTTGGAGAGGTGGAGCAGTACTGCCTCTACCCCTAGGGGCATCTTTGCCCTTCCCTTCCTGTCCTTACTTGTCCTGGGTGTCCTTAACACCTGTGGGTGCTAAAACATGGATAAGACTCTGGCTCAGCCTGGGAGGGGCCATACTGGATGCCCTCAGACCAGTGGTGGATAAGACAGGTGCATAGTAGTTGTTGCCAAGGCCCAGTGCTGAGAGGGAGCCATTGAGTCTGAATGTGGAAAATCCAGGAAGACTTCTCAGAGGAGGTGGCTCTAGCATTGGGGATTCAGGAAAGAGTTGGGCCCATTGAGGGGTCTACGGAGGGCACACAGGCTTAGGGGCTACTGGAGCAAGGGCCCCCAACTAGACCTTCCCCTCCCACCACTGCTGAGCCCTCCTGGTTCCTGTCTTTCTCCACCTCCTTCTTCCTTTCTGTGGATCACTCATCACTTGATGTTGCCACAACAGGCTTGGCAACTGGGTCTGGCAGGGGAAGTGCTGGAAAAACCCGGGGCAGAGCCCTGCACAGTGAGTGTCCCACACTTGGAGGTCGAAGGGTGGCCTTTGCCCTGACTCTGAGAGCTGACAGTGTGGGTTGTGGAGTCCGTCGCTGTTACCAGGCGTGTAACAAGTGGGACCCTCTTAGCTCTTCTACTGAGTGACTCTGGCTGGAAGAGCACTGGATTTGGAGTCCAAACACCTGTCCTCAGGGGCATGAATGCTTCCTTCTCAGGGCCTCAGGGCCTCCTTTAATAAATCGGGTTCATTCTATCCTTCTCTGAGGGCTCTGGGGAACTCCATTTAGAGGGGGAGCAATGCAGCTCAGAGGGCAACTGCCAGCTCTGTGAGGTCCCCAGGCCTGAGTTCTCTTGGCCCCTCTCCTCAGGACAAGGCTTGCGAGCAGCTGGAATCGGTCCACCTCCCTTAGATGTCATGGAGCTGGATCTCTCCCCACCTCAGCTCAGCAGCTCCCCAGAAGACCTGTGCCCAACCCCTGGCACCCCGCCTGGAACTCCTCCGCCCCAGGACGCCCCTCTGTCTGGGGAGGTGAAGAGGTCCCAGCCTCTGCCCATCCCGACCTGCAGGTACAGTGGGGCGAGATGGGGCTGGGGAGGGCCTGGGGGGGGACATCAGCACCTGAGGCTTCCCTCCCCGCACTTGCTGCAGGAGACTCCCAGAGGAGGAGCGGCAGGCAACCTCTCTCCCCTCCATCCCCAACCCCTTCCCTGAGCTCTGCAGTCCTCCCTCAAAGACCCCCATTCTCGGGGGGCCCTCCAGTGCAAGGGGACTGCTACCACGAGATGCTAGCTGCCCTCACGTGAGTTCTGGGAAAGGCAAGGCAAGGCAGGGCTGGGGGGTGCCCTGGACCCGGGGTGGATTTAGCATCTCTTTGGTGGAGCGGGGGCATCTTGGTCAGGGGTCCCGCCCTGTGCCCCTGCCTCAAGTCATCTGCAGTTCCTGGGGTGCAGGTGGTGAAGGTGTACAGTGAGGACGGGGCCTGCCGCTCGGTGGAGGTGGCGGCAGGCGCCACGGCTCGCCACGTGTGTGAAATGCTGGTGCAGCGAGCGCATGCCCTCAGCGACGAGCACTGGGGGCTGGTGGAGTGCCACCCCTGTCTAGCCCTGGGTGAGTCGGGATGCAGGGAGCCCACCAGCTGGGCTACAGTGCCTCACATCTGGGGCCCGGCCTGGCTCCCCTGGGCGGCTCGGTTAATCTCCACTAACCCCTGCCTTTTGCCCTTGACCCCAGAGCGGGGTCTGGAGGACCACGAGTCTGTGGTGGAAGTGCAGGCGACCTGGCCCGTGGGTGGAGACAGCCGCTTCATCTTCCGGAAAAACTTCGCCAAGTACGAACTGTTCAAGAGCCCCCCGGTGAGTGTGTGCGAGGGGACTCTGGGCGCTGGAACACCCCGATCCTCAACCTGGGCCCTTGGGCCCTGATTCCTGCTCCCTTTCTCCCCCAGCACTCCCTGTTCCCAGAAAAGATGGTCTCCAGCTGTCTCGATGCCCACACCGGCGCATCCCATGAAGACCTCATCCAGGTGAGGGGGCCCCCCACTTTGCCACGTATTCCCAAGTCCCCCCCAAATCGCCCAATGTTTCTTTCCCCTTTACCTGACTGTGGACAAGTCACTGTCCTTACCTGTGTGTCACTTTTTCATCGACTAAGTGGGAGGATCCCTGCAGACAGAGCCCCTTCCTACAAGGCCCCAGGGCAGGGAAGGAGAGGGGAGCCCTCACCCTGTGGTCTCTCCTCAGAACTTCCTGAATGCCGGCAGCTTCCCCGAGATCCAGGGCTTCCTGCAGCTGAGGGGCTCAGGTCGCAAGCTGTGGAAACGCTTCTTCTGCTTCCTGCGCCGGTCTGGCCTCTATTACTCCACCAAGGGCACCTCCAAGGTGAGGCCATGAGGGTGCCACTCCCAGCCCCTCACTCCTCACTCCCTCCTCCTCCAGGCCTTGGATCCTCAGCTGCTTCTCCTTCCCTTCCAAGCTGACTGCCTCCTGTGCATGGCCTCCTGCCCTGCCCCTGCTCAGCTGAATTACCCCAGGAGGTGACAGTAGAAAAGGCAGGGGAACCTGAGTTCAAGTCAGGCTTTGCCTTCTATTTGCTAGTGGGACCTCGGGTACTTCCCTGCCCCTCTCTGATCCTGAAATCTCACCTGGCTTGGGGACAGTAATAGGCAGATGGGATCTGCCTGTACCAAGTTCTGCATAATTCATGCTCAGGATCCAAGGCACCTACAATATGTGGCAGATGTGAATGAGTCCAATGTCTATGTGGTGACCCAGGGCCGAAAACTCTACGGGATGCCCACGGACTTTGGCTTCTGTGTCAAGGTGATGACCCTAGCCTGGACCTGGGGTGTGTGTGTGTGGGGGGGGGCTGCTTAGACACCAGGACCCTACCTGGGGCCTCTGAGCTCCATCTTGGGAACCCACACACTTTTCCCTGTAACCTACACTGCTGGAGACTCCTTGGGTATCCCATGGGACATCCGAGGACAGACATCTAGTTCCAAAGGCAGATATGGGACCAGTCTATTTCCTCTCCCCACAGCCCAACAAGCTTCGGAATGGCCACAAGGGGCTTCGCATCTTCTGCAGTGAGGATGAGCAGAGCCGCACCTGCTGGCTGTCTGCCTTCCGTCTCTTCAAGGTGGGACCCTGGGACTGTAGGGGGCTGGTCCTGCCTGAGGGGTCCCTAGTATGAGGAAGGAGTCCTAGTGCTGCCCTCTGGAAGTCTCCTGAATGAGGAGACGGCATGACCACCTTGGTCTTTGAGAACTCGAGTGTGGCTTTAGGAGGCTTCTAGCCAAGAGCAGAAACAGCCCTGCTCCTGAGGAGTCCCCGTCTGGGAGGTGTCACAGCCAGCTCTCAGGCCCCCCGAACCTCTACCCTCTTTTTGTTCCTGCCCTTAGTATGGGATGCAGCTGTATAAGAATTATCAGCAGGCCCAGTCTCGCCACCTGCGTCCATCCTATTTGGGTTCCCCGCCCTTGGTGAGTATACCCAGGGGCACTGGGTGGGGGTGGGCATCCAGGTCCTGGTCCAGGGCAGTTGTTCTGACCCGTCCCCTCCCCATCCTGTCCCATCTCCAGAGGAGTGTCTCGGATAATACCCTGGTGGCTATGGACTTCTCCGGCCATGCTGGGCGAGTCATCGAGAACCCCCGGGAAGCTCTGAGTGCAGCCCTGGAGGAGGCCCAGGCCTGGAGGGTGAGGGGCCTGCATGCATCTGCATGTTTGTGGAGAAGGGGACCCTTCTCCACGGGGGTTTCCATGGAGTGAGAAGGAAGAAGAGAGGGACCTAGGAGATACCTCAGATGGGGGGTGCCAGGTTGCACTCCCAACCATGCCCTGACTCCCCATGTCCCCTCTACTGCAGAAGAAGACAAACCACCGCCTCAGCCTGCCCACCCCATGCTCAGGCACGAGCCTCAGTGCAGGTGGGTGATGACCCTGAGTTCCCAGGGATGGGGGGATCACCAGGAATGCTTCTCTGAGCATTCCTGGTGGAATGGGGATCCCTTCCTTGAGTGACAGCCCGTCTGCTTCCCCCCACTCCAGCCATCCACCGCACCCAGCCCTGGTTCCATGGACGCATTTCCCGCGAGGAGAGCCAGCGGCTCATTGGGCAGCAGGGCCTGGTGGATGGGTAAGGGGCAGGGTTGAGTGGGGCGACAGATCCAGGGATCACAGACCTTGGGATCACAGACCCTGGGGCAAGGCAGCCACCACGGGTCCTCAGGGATGCTGCTCTATTTCTGGCAGCCTGTTCCTGGTCCGGGAGAGTCAGCGAAACCCACAGGGCTTTGTCCTGTCCTTGTGCCACCTGAAGAAAGTCAAGCACTATCTCATCCTGCCGGTGAGGAGCCCCCCTTGTCCCTGGATTCCTGCAGGGGGGAACACAGGACTCCCAGCAACCTGTCCTCATCAGCTTCCCGTAGGAAGTTCCCAGCCCCCAGGGTGCCTCCTTTTTCCCTGCACAAAAAAACGGGATCCTCAACTGTCTGGCCCAGGACACAGGCAGCTCCTCAAGCCTTGTGCCCTGCCCTCCCTGAGCTTTTGCCTCTGTGCTGTGCCCAGAGCGAGGACGAGGGCTGCCTCTACTTCAGCATGGACGATGGCCAGACCCGCTTCACGGACCTGCTGCAGCTCGTGGAGTTCCACCAGCTGAACCGTGGCATCCTGCCATGCCTGCTGCGCCTCTGCTGCACCCGCGTGGCCTTCTGACGGCCACGCGAGCCCAAGCCTGTACGGCCCAGCATCAGGCGACCCGCCATGCCTGCCACCCCTCCACTCAAGTGGACTCGGAGGGTGCAGATAATGGACAATCCAGGGGCTTCCCCACTCCGGCTTCCCGGTTTCTTTACCTCCCTCAGGCAGAAGATGCCCCCACCTCATACACCCTCCATCCCTCTCCCCAAGGGGAGGCCCTTGGTGGCACTCTCCCTTTGTGGAGCTCCTGGGGCACTGCTCCAGGGCAGGGCATTCTGAGAGCAATGGGGAGAGCCCAGCTGGTCTCATGCCCTGCACTTTATACAGACTGAGAGGCCAGTCAGTCCTCTGTGTTTTCTACTAGTGACAATAAAGATTATTTTTTGATACACCCATGAGTTCTGTCTGGCAAGACCTGGCTAGTTGGTGTCGGGAAGGGACCAGAAGAAGCATGCACCAGTGATGGCCTTGGTGAAGGGGTCAGGTGGGCAGAGGCCACGCCCTGGCTTCTCTGGATGTTTCTCAAGGGAAGGTGGGGGGCAGGGGTCCATGTGATTCTCTTTACCTAGCATGGAGCCTGGCATACACTGGGTGCCCAATAATTGCTAGTTAAGTGAGTGAATGGACTTCAAGGGAGGACTATCATGCAGGTTAGATACCTTGACAGAGCGTAGAACTAGAGGTGTCCCTCACAGGGCCTGGGAGCTGGAAATGGGTCCACAGCACCCTTGTCTTGGGCTGGGAGGACAGCGAGTCCTGACAGCTGAACGTGCAGCACCAGGGCCTGGACAACGGCTCCATGACTTCCCTCCTCTCTGCTGCCAATGACTCCCCTACCCCCAACCAACCCCAGATCTGCTTTCTGTCCCTACAGTTCCACCCCCTCCAGAAAGCAGTCTTACGCCCTCAGCCCTCCGAAGGGAGTCTGGCTCCCTTCTCCAACCCATCCTTCAACACCCAGAGTGATCTTTCCAAAATGTAACCCTGCCAACTCTGCAGCCAGTCTATGTGTTTGTGCAAGGGTTTTATAGCTGGAGCTGTCACCTGATGGGAACTTCATAATAAGCACATCCGACTGGCAACACCTGAAACTGCTGCTCAAATCTCAGCCACACCCTCCTTC